ATTTTGTAGATAAATCCTTTTAACTTAAATAGCAGAATCCCTATTATTTTGTTCAATCTGTCAGCTAGGTGTCTATAAACTGAAAAATTGGTGAAGAGACAACAGTTTGTGTGATATAATCCCTGTGTGACTGGTCAGCCATGGATGTGGGTAATCTTAAGTACTTAACCAATTCAAGTAAGTGGGTGCCAGGTAATCAAATCAAACCTGAATTCTCCTAAGAAGAAAAAAATGACTAAACTGGAATTATTGTACTTTTTGGCATATCATGAAAAGACAAGATTCACTAGAGAAAGGAATACTGATGAGAAACATTGAAGGTGGCATGAAAAGAGAACGACTATGAGATTTCACTCATTTCACACGCTAGCAAGGTTATGCTTAAAATCCTACAAGGTAGGCTTCAGCAGTATGTGGACCAAGAACTCCCAGAAGTAGAAGCTGGATTTTGAGTAGGCAGAGGAACCAGAGACCAAATTGCTAACATGCGCTGGATTATGGAGAAAGCCAAAGAGTTCCAGAAAAACATCTACTTCTGCTTCACTGTGTGGACCACAGCAAACTTGAAGAAATGGGAGTGCCTGACCAGCTTATCTATCTCCTGAGAAATCTATACGTTGGACAGGAAGCAACAAGCAACAGTTAGAACTGGATATGGAACAACTGATTGGTTCAAAATTGGGAAAGGAGTATGACAAGATCTTGAAGCTGAGGCTCCAATACTTTGACCATCTAATGAGAAGAGAAGACTCCCTTGGAAAAGCCCCTGATGTTAGGAAAGTGGTGAAGGCAAGAGGAAAAGGGGACAACAGAGGATGAGATGGTTGGAAAGTGTCACTGAAGCTACCAACATGAATGTGACCCAACTCTGGGAGGCAGTGGAAGACAGGAGGGCCTGGCATGCTCTGGTCCATGACGTCACGAAGAGTCTGACACAACTTAACGACTAAACAACAAATTACATGCAGGCTTCAGTTTATATCAGGCCCTACCAGTTTAGCTCAAGTGGTTTCCCTCTAGCTTTGTTTCTCTTTATCTGATCCATGTGGTGTCTGTATTAATATGTTTTGCAGAAATATTTGGGTGTTGCAGCTCTTCAAATGACTAGAGATGGGCATGAACCAGAAAAATGGCGGCTTGTGGTGGTTTGTGCTTCATGCCAATCCACGATCCATATACGTTTTGAAGAAATGAATCACAAACTGGTTCATTTTTTTTTTAAAAAAATGTTTGTACCTTGGGGGCAGGGGAAACTAACCCCCCCACCTCGTCTGCCAGTCACCTGCCCCATTCCCATTGCTCCATCATCTCCCTGCCTTGTGCTGTCTCCTCTGCCATTGCCATCTTCATGGACTGTGGCCCAGCTTCCCTTCCTGAAGCCTGGGTGCTGTCACACCTGTCATGGCCCGCCTGTCAGCTGGCAGTTGTGCACAGAAACCAGCAGCCTTGTTCCCATGAGCCAGGCCTGCTATCTCGTGCATGCGCCGAGATCCCGGTTGATCAAGGAGATCAGTTAGGACCCTGGTGTGTGTGCAGAAGAGAGCACCCAGGCTCTTGGAAGGCTATGCTGCCGCCACCAGGATGACAATGGGGTCTTGACTTAAGAACAGCTCGAGTTAAGAACATTTTGACTTAAGAACCGCTCTCATAGGAAAATATTGACTTGACTTAAGTACTTAGATTTGAGTTAAGAACTGAAAAAAACCCACGTGGGAGGCAGGGAAAGTGCAAAATTTGAACTTTCAGTTAACTGTTGGCCAGTGAAAAGGGTGCCTGTCTGCTTCCTCACTCCTCCCAGCGTTTAGAGAGTGGATTGGGAGTCTTCAGACTGCCTGGTACTGCCTGGACTGTATTTTCCCTGCCTTCCCTGAACCTTTCTTGACCTAAGAAAAAAAGAAACAAAATATCCCCCTCTAGTGGTCGAAGGCAGAATAGCAGCTTCCCATTAGTTTCTATGGACGGAAAAGAGCAGATACGGATCAAATGGTTTTCAATGCATTCCTATGGGAAATGCAGATTTGACTTGAGAACCGCCTTCCAATACAGATTAAGTTCTCAAGTCAAGACCCCACTGTAACATGGCTCATTTCCTGGAAATAACTGAGCTCCTATGGCTCAGTCACTGGCAGTAAGATCTATAATCTAAAATACACCAACATGTTTGGTTCCACCCTTTCGTCTTTGCTCTACCACCACTGGAAAGCAGCCCCCAAGAACCTCTCCTAAAACTGAATTTGATGCTCATGCAGTTCCCCACCCTTTTAAAGCCCACTATATCTTGTACTTCTCTGACTATTGTTCTCTCCCCTTCCATCCCCTCTAAAATGCATTAGTAATTTAGATCACTAAAAGAAATAAAGCTGCAGGAGGCACATATAGGCTGTTTTTGAACCACCTTACCATTCAGACCAGAGAGCCAAAGATTCAGTGGATCAGAAAACAGAGCTGGGATAATTGCATTCAGAGCAGCACTGTGGCCAGCCCAGTGCCATGGTAGTTTAGAATTCATTAGCATTCAAGCATTTAGGGCTTTGTTGTAAATTAGCTACTTTGCACACCAATGCTGGAAAACATCACTGGTGTCAATTCATTAGTCAATGGAGTGGGAAAGATCAACACATCAGTCAAGAAGATATATGGAGTCTGTCCCTTAATGATGTTAGCTTCTAGGCAGATGGTGATGGAACCTTTGTGGCCTGATGACTGTGTTTAATATGTGTAATCTATACACCAATAAATCTGAAGCTGGCAACAAGCAGGTTCACTTTGTTCAGTCTATGGAAAGAAAAAAGTGTCCTGCACATTGTGGACAGCATTAACATTTAACAGTGTTTCAGGGAGGTTCTTTTATTGGACTTGAATTAAAAAGTAATAATTACCTAGTAAAACAATTAGCTTGAGTAATGTCACTTTCCAGGAAGGATGGTTAATGCCAGAACCTATTATTAAGACATTCACATCAGCATCTGGAACAACTACAGTAGTTGTTTCATGGACTGCTACCCGGACTTTATCATGTTAAGAAGCATGGGTTGTCAGTAAACATGGGTGATGTGATGTCACTGGTTCACGTCACTTAATGGCATTAGAAAAAGAAATTAGAAAAATTAATTTTAAGTCATTCCCCTTGTGGCTGAAAGATTGAAAATGAGACATTACAACAGTGACAGACTGTGTGGTTACATCTGGGAAAGATTAAACATATAGAGTAGTTGTCAGCAGAGATGTGAATTGCCTTTACACAAAAGTGCAAAACGGGATGAGATCAAAGGTATAGGTTAGAATTATTTTCTGAAAAAAAACTATTTTAATGTGTTTCCTTTACCCCATTAAAATGCCTTTTATGCAAATGTGACAGGGGAGACACAGGTTACTTTGCTATTATAAAAGCAGGTTGTGACTCAAAAAAGGTTAGGGAAACACTGGTTTAAAGCAAAAGGATCCTGGCATTAGAAAGGACCCAAAGACCATCGTATCCAACATCTTTTTCCATTGTAGAATCTGTCTTCCACACAAAAGAGGAGGTAGCCTCGTGGCGCAGTGGTTAAACCGCTGTACTGCAGCTAAAACAGTGCTCACAACCTGGGGTTCAAATCCCAGGCAGCCGGCTCAA